TACACTCCACTATCCACTCCACTTTCTCTGTCTCTGTCTGTCTGTCTGTCTGTCTGTCTGTCTCTCTCTCTCTCTTCTCTCTCTCTTCTCTCTCTCTTCTCTCTCTCTCTCTCTCTTTCCCCTCTCCCATCTCTCCCCTCTAACATCTCCTCCTCTCATTATCTCTCCCCTCTCTCCCATTTTCCTCTTTCTCCCCTCCTCCCCTCTCTCTTCCCCTCTCCTCTCTCTTCCTCTCTCTCTTCCATCTCCCCCAGTCTCCCCTCCTCCCCTATCTCCCCTCTCTCTCTCTCTCTCTCTCTCTCTCCTCTCTCTCTCTCTCTCTCTCTCTCTCTCCCCTCCCATCTCTCCCCTCTAACATCTCTCTCTCCTCTCATTATCTCTCCCCTCTCTCCCATTTCCCATCTTTCCCCCTCCTCCCCTCTCTCTTCCCCACTCCTCTCTCTTCCCTCTCTCTTCCATCTCCCCCAGTCTCCCCCTTCTCCCTATCTCTCCTCTCTCTCTCTCTCTCTCTCTCCTCTCTCTCTCTCTCTCTCTCCCTTCTTTTCCCTTCTAACTCTCCCCCTCTCTCTCTCCTTCTACCTTTCCCATTTCTCTCTTTCTGTCTGTCTGTCTGTCTGTCTGTCTGTCTGTCTGTCTCTCTCTCTCTCTCTCTCTCTCTCTCTCTCTCTCTCTCTCTCTCTCTCTCTCTCTTTCTCTCTCTCTCTCTATCTCTCTCTCTCTCCTCTCTCTAAAAAAAAAGGGTGTGGACTCAAAGGAACCAAGGATCAAATGAGAATGGTTCTGGTAGGGAGGAGTGGATGGAGGATCAGTGGAAAAGGATGGAACAAGAGTGGGAGAGAAAATTAGGAGAGCTTTCTGCAAAAATGGAGACAAAGCTTTCTGTGAAATTGGAAAAGAGGTTGGAGGAGGAGAAGAAAAATTGGGAGGCATAAGTCAAAACTTCAGTAGCCAGGATAAGGATCCTAGAAGATGAGGTGAACAGGCTGAAGCAAGTTACAGGGGAGATATGAATTACAGGAAGGAGATATGAATTATGCTAAGGTCATATCAGCCTGCCAAGAAGGGCCAAGGAGTGAAAGGGGACAGGAGCTGGGTGCAGATGGAGAGGGAGATAGGTCAAAGGCAGAGGCACAACCATGCTACCAAGAGCTACTCGTAAAAACAAGGGAGAAAATGGCCAATTACAGACAGGAACCAGAGTCACAGAGGGAAAGGCAATGGGAAGAGGAAAGGGCAAAGTCAGTGTTTATTCATGGGCTTCAGGAGAGCGAGGGAAGAACACACACTAAAAGATGGCAGGTAGAAAGAAAAGAGATTGAAAACTTCATCACAGAAATAGGTGAAGAAGACATGGGCGAGATTCTAAATTTTCAGAGAATAGGGGGAGAAGTACTTGAAGGAGAGAAAACAACCGATCAAGCTTATTTTCAGGACAGAAACAGAGAAACCACGGTTGAAGTACTCGGCAGAGTACAAGACAGTGTTCCTAGACAGTGACAGAACACAAATAGCATGACAGTAGCTGAGGGAGAGGACACAAAAGCAAAAGGAGCTAGGAAGGGAGACAAGGGCAGAACCATGAGAGATCAATCAAAGCAGGGAAGAGCAACAGGAGCAAGCACACAGAGAACCATCCCCAGATCCCCACAACCTATCACACCATCCCTACACAGACTATAATCCGCACTCAAAGCTCCCACCCAACAGTCTGCTATAGAATCCCACAGTGCACTACCAGGTCCCCAACCCTCACAGGCCCCCCAAACCACAGTGTCGGAAAGGAAACTGAAGGTATGCTACACAATTACTGATGGAATAACAAATAAGTGGGAGGAGTGGCACAAAAGAGTCAAAGAGGCATCACCGGACATTATAGCTCTCAAAGAAACCAAGCTTACAAGTATAATAACAGATGCCATCTTTCTAACGGGATATCAGATCCTGAGGAAAGACAGAGGGAACAGGGGGGTGGAGGTGTGGCACTGCTGATCAAAAACCAATGGAATTTTCATGAGCTGGAGAGAGGAGACAGTGGAGAAGCAAGTGATTACATAGCAGAATGCCACACTCTGGTGGTCCCAAAGTGGCAACTGCAGTGATGTATAACCCACCACAGAACAGCAGGAGGTCAAGGCAAGAGTATGATGAGAGCAATAGAGCAATGATTGACACACTGGCAGCAGTGGCCAGAAGCGCCCATGCGTGCAGGGCAAAGCTATTGATCATGAGTGACTTTAACCAAAAGGAAATTGATTGGGAGAACTTGGAGCCACATGGGGGCCAAGATACATGGAGGGCTAAGATGATGGAGGTGGCACTGGAAAACTTCATGTACCAACACGTAAAGGACACTACAAAAGAAAGAGGAGAGGATGAATCAGCAAAACTGGCCAGAGTATTCATCTTGAGCAGTGCAGATATTGAGGACATCACATATGAAAGACCCCTTGGAGCCAGCAATCATGTGGTTTTAAGCTTAGAATACACAGTAGAGCTGCAAGTGGAAGGGGAAGCAGGAAGGCCAGGACGAATGAAGCCAAACTACAAGAAAGTGGACTACACAGGAATGAGGAACTTCCTGAATGGGGTTCAGTGGTACAGAGAACTGGCAGGAAAGCAAGTAAATGAGATGATGGAATATGTAACAACAATATGCAAGGAAGCTGAGGAGAGGTTTGTACCCAAGGGTAACAGAAATAATGAAAAAGCCAGGATGAGCCCATGGTTTACCCAAAGGAGCTGTGAGGCAAAAACAAAGTATGCTAGGGAATGCAAGAAACATGGAAGACAAAGGACCTAAGAGAATAAGGAGAGCAGTCGTAGAGCCAGAAATGAATATGCACAGATAAGAAGGGAGGCCTAACGACAATATGAAAATGACACAGCAGAGAAAGCCAAATCTGACCCAAAGCTGTTATACAGACACATCAGGAGGAAAACGACAGTCAAGGACCAGGTAATCAGGCTAAGGAAGGACGAGAGACAACAAGAAATGACTGTGAAGTGTGTGAGGAGCTCAACATGATATTCAAAGAAGCGTTTTCAGAGGAGACAGAAGGGGCTCCAGAAAGACGGAGAGGTGGGGTACACCACCAAGTGCTGGACACAGTACACACAACCGAGGAAGAAGTGAAGAGGCTTCCGAGTGAGCTAGATACCCCAAAGGCAATGGGGCTGGTTAACATCTCTCCATGGGTCCTGAGAGAGGGAGCAGAGGCGCTATATGTACCCCTAACAACAATATTCAATACGTCTATCGAAACAGGGAGATTGCCTGAGGCAATGGGACTACATTTGCCTGAGCAAATGTAGTCCCAGTTTTTAAAAAAGGAGACAGACATGAAGCACTAAACTACAGACCAGTGTCACTGGCATGTATAGTATACGAAGTCATGGAGAAGATTATCAGGGGAAGAGTGGTGGAACACCTAGAAAGGAATGATCTCATCAACAACAGCCAACATGTTTACTGGGATGGGAAATCTTGTGTCACAAACCTACTGGAGTTCTATGGCAGGGTGACAGCAGTAAGACAAGAGAGAGAGAGGGGTGGGCAGATTGCATTATCTTGGACAGCAAGAAGGCGTTTGACACAGTTCTACACAAGAGATTAGTGCAGAAACTGGAGGACCAAGCAGGGATAACAGGGAAGTCACTACAGTGAATCAGAGAATATTTGTCAATAAGACAGCAGCAAGTCATGGTACGTGGCGAGGTGTCAGAGTGGGCACCTGTGATCAGTGGGGTCCCACAGAGGTCAGTCCTAGGACCAGTGCTGTTTCTGGTATGTGTGAACGACATGACAGAAGGAATAGTCTCTGAAATGTCCCTGTTTGCAGATGACGTGAAGTTGATGAGAAGAATTCATTTGATCGAAGATCAGGCAGAACTACAAAGGGATCTGGACAGGTTGCAGACCTGGTCCAGCAATTGGCTCCTGGAGTTCAACCCCGCCAAGTGCAAAGTTATGAAGATTGGGGAAGGGTAAAGAAGACCGCAGACGGAGTACAGTCTAGGGGGCCAGAGACTACAAACCTCACTCAAGAAAAAGGATATTGGGGTGAGTATAACACCAGGTACATCTCCTGAAGCGCACATCAACCAATTAACTGCTGCAGCATATGGGCGCCTAGCAAACCTCAGAACAGCATTCCTACACCTTAATAAGGAATCGTTCAGTACCCTGTACACCGTGTACGTTAGGCCTATATTGGAGTATGCAGCACCAGTTTGGAACCCACACCTAGCCAAGCACATAAAGAACCTAGAGAAAGTGCAAAGGTTTGCAACAAGACTAGTCCCAGAGCTAAGGGGTATGTCCTACGAGGAGAGGTTAAGGGAAATCGACCTGACGAGACTGGAGGACAGGAGAGATAGGGGGATATGATAACGACATACAAAATACTGACAGGAATTGACAAGGTGGACAAAGACAGGATGTTCCAGAGATGGGACACAGTAACAAGGGAACACAGTTGGAAGTTGAAGACACATGAATCACAGGGATGTTAGGAGGTATTTCTTCAGCCACAGAGTAGTCAGTAAGTGGAATAGTTTGAGAAGCGATATAGTGGAGGCAGGATCCATACATAGCTTTAAGCAGAGGTATGATAAAGCTCACGGTTCAGGAAGAGTGACCTAGTAGCTACCAGTGAAGAGGCGGGGCCAGGAGCTTGGACTCGACCCCTGCAACTTCAACTAGGTGAGTGGATGAGTAAACACACACACACACACACAACAACACATACACACACATGTACACGCATACACACACACACACACACACACACACACACACACACACACACACACACACGCACACACACACACACACACACACACACACACACACACACACACACACGCACACACACACACACACACACACACACACACACACACACACACACACACACACACACCACTCATCACATACGCACACAAATGCCTACACAAACACATAGAAATCACGAAAGCACTATTGCATGCAAAAATGGAAATCAATAAACATTACCTGTGCAGAAGGAGACAATGTTGCTGACTATGAGAGTTATAAATATTGCAGACACTCCAATGTAGCAATATGATAACTCATAGATGTCCTTCACTGACCACCTGATGAAGTACACAGAAAAATATAAAATGTTTATTATAACTTCACCATCCTGTATTATATAACAGAGTAAAGAGTAAAGATAGTAGGTAAGACACATAGGCAACAGTTAGGCAACTTTATTCCGAAACGTTTCGCCTACACAGTAGGCTTCTTCAGTCGAATACAGAAAGTAGGCAGGAACAGTAGAGATGTGAAGACGATGTGATCAGTCCATCACATCGTCTTCACATCTCTACTGTTCCTGCCTACTTTCTGTATTCGACTGAAGAAGCCTACTGTGTAGGCGAAACGTTTCGGAATAAAGTTGCCTAACTGTTGCCTATGTGTCTTACCTACCAACCTGTCGGTATTGTATACCATTTTGATGTTCAAAGATAGTAACAGAGTTGGTACAATTACAGACAATGTGAGGTACAAGGTCACATGTGCATCTAATGTGATATTTTATTGTGGTAACGTTTCGCTCTCCAGGAGCCTGGATATTGAGACGTCTCGGATAGAAAACCAATATATCATCAACGTATCTTAGCCAGGTAACGGTGTTGGGAATGAGGCTGCTGAATTTCTCTGTCTCTAGGTTTTCCATGAAGAGGTTGGCAAGCACAGCACTGAGCGGGCTGCCCATTGCCATCCCAGTGCTTTGGGATGGCAATATCCCAATATCCAGGCCCTTCTCAACAAGATCAATGCAGCCGAACCATCAATAAAGTTTACACTTCAACTCGAAAACGAAGGCAAACTTCCTTTCCTGGACGTTCTCCTGTGCAGATCTCCCGACAGTGACAAACTTCTCTTCAAAGTGTATAGAAAACCTACCCACAAGGATGATCTTATACATTTTTATTCACACCAAGACACCCGCACTAAAAGAGGAGTCCTCACTGGCTTCTTCGTGAGAGCTCTTCGCATCTCCAGCCCTTGTTTTCTTGAAGAAGAATGCACTTACATAACACAAGCCTTTTCACGTCTTCAGTTCCCATCTTTCTTCATCCGAGATTGCAGACTCAAGGCACAAGCTATCCTCAACAAACCGCCCATGGAACAGCCCCCTAAGCAGTTCACAGTACTCCCATGTGGCGATGTTGCCACGAATACTCGCCGGGCACTTGCTATGAGTAACATCAACGTTTCCACCATAAACACATCATCTATCAAAGACCTCACTACTAAACTCATCCCCACACCTCTAACTTCTACAGCAGGCGTCTACACCATCCCCTGTGGATTCTGTCCCAAGAAATATGTAGGGGAAACAGGCAGAGATCTTGCAGAGATCTTGCAGTCCGCCTGAATGAGCATCGAAATGCCTCTAACAGAGACGATGTATGGTACGCCTGTGTCCTCCACAGAGACTCCACGGGGCATTTGATGAACTGGAATGAGGCACAACTCGTTCTCACCGAACCAGACCTCAGACGCCGACGGTGCCTAGAAGCCTCACTAATCGCCGTCACCGACACTATAGAACGTAACACTGGAAACTACAAAATTTCAAAAAACATTGGCATACATGATACCTCAGCACCACCAACCCAACAACACGGGAGTCACATGGTTACATCGTCTACCCATCCTCATCTCAACATGACATTCTTCAGGTCACCGTGCGTCACTCACACCTCACTCTATGCCTATATATATATAATGTCTTTCTACCTCTGTATGTTAGAAGTGATCAAGGTCTTAGTGTTTGCTTACGTGTCTTTCTGAACCAACTTGTCGGTATTTATTACCAAGGTTTATGCCATACATTTATATATATATATATATATATATATATATAATATATATATATATATATATATATATATATATATATATATATATATATATATATATATATATATAAATATATATATATATATATATATTCGTGTCGAATAGGTAAAATTTTTCAATTAACAAGAATTCGTTCAAAATTAAGTTCTTTCTAAAATAAATATTTCTTATACGTTTAAAAATACATTTTTTCTTTAATGGTAATGTAAAAATTATAATTTTGTACCAAAAGAACCTTAGAAAATTCACCTGACCTTATTATAACAAGCGCCCCTTAAGAACCTTAGAAAACTAACCTAACCTTATTATAACAAGCGCCCCTTAATTTAGCCTAATCCAACTAAATACTTTTAGATAAGTTCACAATAAATTAATAATAAACAAACACAATGAAATATATATTTTTCGTTAGATTCAGAATGATATTTGCGAAATTACTGCATAGGCAAATTTTTGCTTGCCTTATTCGGCAAGAAGAGCGTTACTATTCAAGCCATGAGAAAAACCCTTACATTCAATGATGTTTCATCATTTCTTAAGCAATAAACCACACATATTTAACCATTAGTAACTTCCATACCCCAAATAACTCGTAATCCATACATTTCTCGTACAATTTCCGTCACCAACCTTTATCTCTGGAGATAATTTGCTTTAAGACAGCGATCATTCCCAGATCACTAAATCTTCCTTTGACTCACATCTTTCTTAAATTTTCTCCTGACTCACATCTGTCTCAGGTCTTCCCCTGACTCACATCTGTCTCAGGTCTTCCCCTGACTCACATCTGTCTCAGGTCTTCCCCTGACTCACATCTGTCTCAGGTCTTCCCCTGACTCACATCTCTCTAAAATCTTCCCATGACTCATATCTCTTTCAAGTCTTCCCTTTCCCAGTGTCACCTCCATACATTAAGACTCTGATCATACAGTAAACTCTCCTAATAATCTACCCAGTGTCACCTCCATACATTAAGACTCTGGTCATACAGCAAACTCTCCTAATAATCTACCCAGTGTCACCTTCATACATTAAGACTCTGATCATACAGTAAACTCTCCTAATAATCTACCCAGTGTCACCTCCATACATTAAGTCTCTGATCATACAGTAAACTCTCCTAATAATCTACCCAGTGTCACCACCATACATTAAGACTCTGATCATACAGTAAACTCTCCTAATAATCTACCCAGTGTCACCTTCATACATTAAGTCTCTGATCATACAGTAAACTCTCATAATAATCTACCCAGTGTCACCTTCATACATTAAGTCTTTGATCATACAGTAACCTCTCCTAATAATCTACCCAGTGTCACCTTCATACATTAAGACTCTGATCATACAGTAAACTCTCCTAATAATCTACCCAGGGTCACCTTCATACATTAAGTCTCTGATCAAACAGTAAACTCTCCTAATAATCTACCCAGAGTCACCTTCATGCATTAAGACTCTGATCATACAGTAAACTCTCCTAATAATCTACCCAGTGTCACCTCCATACATTAAGTCTCTGATCATACAGTAAATTCTCGTAATAATCTACCCAGTGTCACCTCCATACATTAAGACTCTGATCATACAGTAAACTCTCCTAATAATCTACCCAGTGTCACCTTCATACATTAAGTCTCTGATCATTCAGTAAACTCCCGTAATAATCCACCCAGTGTCACCTCCATACATTAAGACTCTGATCATACAGTAAACTCTCCCAATAATCTACCCAGTGTCACCTTCATACATTAAGTCTCTGAACATACAATAAACTCTCCTAATAATCTACCCAGTGTCACCTTCATACATTAAGACGCTGATCATACAGTAAACTATCCTAATAATCTACCCAGTGTCACCTCCATACATTAAGACTATGATCATACAGTAAACTCTTCTAATAATCTACCCAGTGTCACCACCATACATTAAGACTCTGATCATACAGTAAACTCTCCTAATAATCTACCCAGTGTCACCTCCATACATTAAGTCTCTGATCATACCCAGTGTCACCTCCATACATTAAGACTCTGATCATACAGTTAACTCTCCCAATAATCTACCCAATTTCACCTCCATACATTAAGTCTCTGATCATACAGTAAACTCTCCTAAAAATCTACCCAGTGTCACCTCCATACATTAAGACTCTGATCATACAGTAAACTCTCCCAATAATCTACCCAGTGTCACCTCCATATATTAAGTCTCTGATCATACAGTAAACTCTCCTAAAAATCTACCCAGTGTCACCTCCATACATTAAGACTCTAATCATACAGTAAACTCTCCCAATAATCTACCCAGTGTCACCTCCATACATTAAGACTCTGATCATACAGTAAACTCTCCCAATAATCTACCCAGTTTCACCTCCATACATTAAGTCTCTGATCATACAGTAAACTCTCCTAATAATCCACCCAGTGTCACCTTCATACATTAAGTCTCTGATCATACAGTAAACTCTCCTAATAATCTACCCAGTGTCACCTTCATACATTAAGTCTCTGATCATACAGTAAACTCACCTAATAATCTACCCAGTGTCACCTTCATACATTAAGACTCTGATCATACAGTAAACTCACCTAATAATCCACCCAGTGTCACCTTCATACATTAAGCCTCTGATCATACAGTAAACTCTCCTAATAATCTACCCAGTGTCACCTTCATACATTAAGTCTCTGATCATACAGTAAACTCTCCTAATAATCCACCCAGTGTCACCTTCATACATTAAGTCTCTGATCATACAGTAAACTCTCCTAATAATCTACCCAGTGTCACCTTCATACATTAAGTCTCTGATCATACAGTAAACTCTCCTAATAATCTACCCAGTGTCACCACCATACATTAAGTCTCTGATCATACAGTAAACTCTCCTAATAATCTACCCAGTGTCACCTCCATACATTAAGTCTCTGATCATACAGTAAACTCTCCTAATAATCTACCCAGTGTCACCTTCATACATTAAGTCTCTGATCATACAGTAAACTCACCTAATAATCTACCAGTGTCACCTTCATACATTAAGTCTCTTGATCATACAGTAAACTCTCCTAATAATCCACCCAGTGTCACCTTCAACATTAAGATCTCTGATCATACAGTAAACTCACCTAATAATCTACCTAGTGTCACCTCCATACATTAAGACTCTGATCATACAGTAAACTCTCCTAATAATCCACCCAGTGTCACC